ATCCAGTGCAGTTGATTGCAGTCTATCAGACCTTATGACAGGTGAAGAACGTGAGACCCTTCACATTGCAGCTTCCACTATCCGTGATCATTGGCCAGTACTGATGGATGGGGAACCACATCTGCCACCTTTAAATGCGGCCATAATGAATACTGTAAAACTAGTCTACCTTTACAGTGATACTGGACTCTTTCAGTTTCTAATGAAGCTATTTATCAGTACTAATATAGCCCCTGTTGTGAACACAGCACTTTTTTTGTAAATTGCTATTTCGTTGATAAAGAAATGGGGGGTGCAGTTTTGGGAAGAATGTTGTAAGCCATCTTATTCTGAATGACTGGGAAGGATGGCCCAAAATGTAGTCTGTGATGTTACCATCTTAACCTGACTTGCCCTGGTCCAACTCTGCACCATCAGTACAACGACATCCCATATTATGACACAATCCTGTGCAAGTCTAGTCAGGATGGGAATCTGAGTAGACAGGTGTTTTAAGTTTACACTGCTATCCTTTCACCTGCCAACCCACTTTTGCCATGGCAACTTTGGTTAGCTCATGGGAAGAAGAAAATAAAAGTCACATCTATAACATTGGAGGTGCCAGGGTGGAGCATTAGAAGGTTCATGGATTGCTTTACACCATGCATTTCTACAATTTTGTGGGATGCACCCAAAACTGCTGTCCAATTCATCTCCCACTCCATACAACTTTCCCCAGTGGGTTTGCTTTGGAAGCACCCAGTAAACCCCATCGATCAGTGGTTCCTATCCTTGGGTGTTCTTGGATTGCACCTCCCAGAAATCCCAGCCAGCACACCTAGTGGTGAAAGCTTATGGGAGTTGCAATCCAGGAACAGCTCAGTGGTTTAGGTCTCTGGCTGTGAAGTCAAAGATTGGGCTTCGATTCCCCACTGCGCCTCCTTGACAAGGGCTGGACTTGATGATCCTTAGGGTCCCTTCCAGCTTTGCAGTTCTAAGGTGGCTGCTATTCCAAACTCATGTGATAGCAAGACATTTTGGAATTAAGACCACGCTGTTAGAACACCTGGGTTACCCAAGGTTGGGAGCCGCGACAGAGGTGCGATTTCGGTCCCTGCATGAAGAAGGGCGGCCACAGCTAATGCAGACAATTCGCCAGAAGCTGGGATCTTGGCGACCACGTTGCAGGATCAGGCCAGCAACCCAGAGGACCATCGCCACCCTCTCTCATTTTGAGGCCGGCGGAGGCCAACTGGGCTAGCGATCAACCCCTTCGCCTTGCCGCTGGCGGGGCGGCATCGTTTCCCTCTGCGAAAGGGCGGGGATCCACTGGGAGCTCCGCAGCGGCCGCCAAACCTGATCGCCCGGTTCGCGGGCGCCGCAGAATAGCCGGCTGGGGCGCTTCTTGGATCCGGCGGTTGTTCCGCCGCTTGCTGCGAGCCCTTCTTTGCAGCAGCAGCAGCTGCCTCTGAAGGCGGAGCGATGCGACCGAGGGAAGTGAATGAACTCGCCCGGTTTGAATGGGACCTCCAAGGAAGGAGGGCGAGGCTCCCGTCTGCTCTCCTCGGGCAAGCTCGGAAAACCAAGGACGCTTGCCAGCAAAACGCTGGCCCTGCAAGGAACTGCATGGTGAGAACGTCAAATAAAATGAGATATTCCGGCTGTCAGAAGCTTCGTCCGCCTGTGCCTGCGCTGCAGGCAGTGAGACGGCGACGAAAACAAATTGAAAGCTCAAGATCCACAGGCAGGGAATCACTTTATTGGAACCAAACTAAAAATCCACAGGCTTACACGAATCTGGTGTGTCGCTGCGCCTTGAAAGGGAAAGGGTGCTCTCGAAATAAATGGCCCAGGTTAGGTCCCGAGGTAGCAATCCCGCTTGCAACCCGCGACCCGTCAGGGCAGGGAGAGGGGCGACCCGCGGGTCTAACTGGCCCCCAGCCCCTTCCCGCCATGGAACTGAATGGACTCGCTGTCCCTTCTCGGGAACTCCTCATGTGAGGTCATTCAAATGAATGGGGAGAAGGGAAGTTTATTCATCCAGACCTAGGCCAGATCTAGCCACGAAGTCTGCAGAGAAACTCAAGGGTGGGCACTGTCGCCCTCCGCCTTGTTGGACTACGACCCCCGGCTCCGATTAGCCACGCCGGGTGGGGGGGCTGAGTGGGAGCCCTTACCCCAAAGGTGCGGCGCTTTTGGCGGTTTTGCGGCAACCGGCAGAACACGGGGCCCCCTTTGCACGTAGGAACAACAAAATGAACAAACTGGCGTTCCTCACTAACGTGAGGTTCGCACAGTCACCCTTAAAAATAAATAAGGTGTCGCAAACGTACTCGTTACATTTACAGCCCGCCTCTCCTGCTCGCGCTTTGATGCTCACAATCATCCGGGGTGATGAGTCAGGCCGAGAGAGAGTGATTAGCTCGCTGTCACTCTCTAACTTTTAACCCAGATTCCCCCCACCCCCGATGCTCTGAGCCTTTCCCTTCTCCCACCCGTTCTCTGGTTCCTCTTCTCTTCCGCCCTGTTTCTGGGCCCTGCCCCGAGCTCCCTTCCTGCCCCCCCCGCGCTCCTCTCCTCTCCAGCCTCGCTTCCCCGTCGCTCTCTTGCTGGCCAGCCTCTCCGCCCCCGCCCCGAGGGGCATCCCCCCCCCAGCCCCCCCCTTCAGCAGAACGCCATATGCGATCGGACTGGACAACAAGCAGGTGCCCTCTCCCCTTCCCCTCCTTTCTCTTTCCTACCCCCGCCACGTTTTATTCGTAAGGACTTAGCAGGTAATGGGGCTTACAGGGCAGCGTACGCACGCTGCAACCGAATCCCACGCATTTTTTCCCTCAAAAGGCGTTGCTCTGCTAGACAGGAGAAGTTACTTTTGGGGGACTGCGATTGCCAGAATGTCCCAGCTTGCAGTGGCCGTACATTCCGGCAGCTGTAGTCTGAAAAAGCAGTTTTACCTACCTCTGGACTCATTAAGAAGCCTGCCTAGGATTGCAGCTGGCTCCTGGGGCTGCATTCTGGCAAGTAAGCCCTCCTGGGGTCACTGGAACTTGGTCTCCGTTAAGCGTGCTGCTTCTTGAGACACAGGAGCCGCCTAGAGTGGTCCGGTGGGCCAGATAGGCGGGGTATAAATTAAATAAATAAATAAATAAACCCCCGGTGAATAGCCATAAGGAGGGTACTATTATTCGCATGCACTTCAGTTCCCATAACGGGTGGCATCCTGCTGCTGAGTCCTGCAGAAATACTGCTGGTCTCTCGTTCGCGAGGTTCCTGGTTGCCCGCCTCCAGGAGCCTAATCAGGACCTCTTTAATGAGTAACGATTGGCCGCCAAGACTTATCCGATTTCCCTTACACAAACGTAAAGAGGCAGGAGGAGCCTGGCCCGTGCCTTTGCGCAAAATGTGCGCACTAAGGTTGAGGGCCCCACCTGTCCGGTCTATTTCTTTCTGCACCACCCAGAATCCCACCGCCCTTCAAAACGTGAGCGCGCTGTCTCCACTCTCACGCCTTCCTCGAGGCAAGCCTTCTGGGCTGCAATCGGAGGAGAAAGTGTAGGAGCGGATGCTGAAAAGTGTGCGTTCAGCTCCTTGCACTCAGCTCACACTTCCACTCCTGCCGACGACGCTGGGCTCGGGCACAGATGGGCAGAAGAGAGCCGCCGTTGAGTGCGGGGAGGAGCATAAGCGAAACCCGCAGATTTGGGACTTATTTCTAAGTATTCCTTGGCACGGGTGTGCAGGAGGAAAGCGAGGGTGTTCTCCTCCCATCTCAAATTTGTTTTTTCTTTCATTGTTTCTCTTCAGCCCCACATTACGGTGGGTGGGTGGCGTTGCTAACAATCAAAAACTACAGTCAGGGCAAAAGTCCATAGGTATCGTTAATCGATTTTGCCCAGCCACCGTCGCCGCCACCACAACCCCCCGAAATTATTTCTGCGGACACCCCAGATCCTAGGCAGCATCTTACTTCAGCTGGCGAATCCTGAAGTTCTAGTAAAAACTTAAAAGTCGATCCAGGAAAGCAGTTGATGATTCCAGATAGTATAAAACTCAGTGAATCAATGGGATTTACGTGAATCCGGATCCCTCATTCAGAAGTTTGTTTTAAGGGCTCTACTCTAGTAAAGATTAGTACTTAGGTTCACACCTAAATGTCGTTCCGAACCTGTCTGTGTAACAAAGAGAAATTACCTCTTCCAATCTTACCTGCGCTCCAAACTCATCACAGCCACTCCCCCTCTTCTTTCGTGCTTAATTCTCCCATCGCCAGCATAGATACTATTGCA